ATTATAGATGGGGAGCTGGGAGAGATGCTGCAGAAGTTGGGGTCAGGCCTTTGAGACTGAATATTGGGACAGAGGCTCCCTTACCCTCGTGAGATAGAAACCCCACCCAGGAAATACAGGATTTCTCCTCCTTTCCTGACAAAGCTGGCTCCACCACATCCCACAGTCTCCATTCCCTCTCCTCCCACCAACTGTGACTAAATTTAGAACCTCGCCTGTCCTTTTTCTGTAGGATGAGGGTGTTTTGAGCGCTCATCAGTGTGGTGTCGCAGGACCTGCCAAGGGTTTACCCATCTCTCTCACATCCATCTCCCTTCCTGTTGCTTCCTCCCTCCCAGCAGGCAGCAGAAGGGAGGACTCTGCAAACCTCTGCAGAACACTGAGTGAGGACATGATTCCCTGGGAGGTGGAGTTCAGGAAACTGATACCCACAAAGCACAGAGAAATTTAATGAGCATCAACTAATCCTCATTTTGTGCTTAGGGATGTCCCCAGGAAACTCCAGAGGGTCTGAAGGACCCACTGGATCAGCACACAGTCCAGAGGAGCCCCGAGTTGTGATACGTCAGGAGTCCTAGGAGATTCATTTTGGAGAGTCCCTGACATGGAACTAAAATCTGAAAGCAACACGAGATCTTCCACAGCTCCTAGAAGACTGGGAGCTGACCTGTAGTTCTTGACCTTTCTCAACAAAGCCCCCAAGGTGGAGGCTGATGGGTGGAGATTTCAGCAGTGTTGTTGATTGGTGCATCAGCCCAAAGGCTGGAGGGTGAAATCCTGACCCTCAGAGTGGTGAGAGCCACACCTCTGCACAGCACCACTGTGTTGTGTCCACCTGCCTCAGAGGCACAAATGTGAGTGTTCAGGTCTCTGGGTTTGGTAACAGGAAGGACATACTTTGTTCTTGAACCAGTGGTTAACATATCTGCCTCTACAGCATGGCCTTTTCCCAAGGGCATAGCTCTTCGTCATGTGCCTTGTGAGAAGCTAATTAATTTTCACTGCGGTAAGTGGACTTAAGAGGAAAACAGCCTCCCATTGGAGGAGGAAAAATTTGAGCGAGGCCACAGAAAATGTGCTTGCTGTTTCTAATTAAATTGGGAATAGGTGAATTGGAAACCCTGCCAAGCCTGACATCCTGAGGTCTTGGCAGCTTCTGTGAGGGGTTAGGGAACATCTTTCCAGGAGATCTTGAGCAAGAAAATAAAAACCCATGTGGACTCCTGCCTGCTGCCTTTTCATCATTAGACTTGAACTTGGCATCTTGCCTCATGCCTGATTGTTATTTCCAGTGTGTGTGTATGTGTGTGTGTGTGTGTGTGTGTGTGTAAGAGAGAGAGAGAGAAGAGACAGACAGACAGACACAGAAAGAGACAGATTGAGAGAAGGGTGAGTTGTCAATCCAGAGCAGAAATTCAGGCATGTGGTATTACAAAAAGTTCAATGTCTTCCCCAGGCCTCCAGGCTTCCACTCATTCACTTCCCTCACCATGACATTACTACCTGCCCAGCTGTCATTCAAGAAGATGGACTAGGCTGATACTGAGGATGAAGAGGAGGAACAGGGAAGTTTACACCTGTAAGAAATAATCAGTAGTCAATGGTTCTGATTCTGGGGAGAGAGTCCAGGAAACTAATGTAAAACGGTTGCATTCCAGAAGAAATCTATACTTTGCCCAAGGCAGATGATCTAGGAGGGTCAAGAGCAGGGCCAAAGTTGGGCAGGCACTAGGAGAAAGACTTTGTGCTACTCTGTGACAGTCTGCAGAGAAGGGCAGAAGTCACAGCAAGTGCCCTGTCACACCCAAGCTTGAGCTGGAGGTGAATAGAGACTTTAAGTCCCAAGTCTCAGCTACAGTGTTGGGCATCCAAGGACAAATAGAAATAATGGAACCCACTCGTCTTCACTCCTCTGCATGGGATGCTGTGGTCTCTGAGAGCAAAGCTGAGTAAATACTAAGAAAATGGTAAGAGGAAGGAGAAGCGGTTGATGGAACATTCTGAAATTCAGAGCTATGAACTAAAATCAGTCTCTTCTACCCCTTTGAGAGCTAAAGCTCTCTAGGGATGTTAGGCAAGTGCATGTTAGAGCACTTGCCTAACATGCACAAGGCCTCTCACAAAGAGAGAAAGAGGGAGGAGAGGGGAAGAGAGAGACAGAGAGCTCTGACCCTCACCTTCACCTTCTGAGGGACTCCAGGATGAGCAGGAAGGGCTGCCTCCCACACGGTATTGTCACAGACACTGACACAACAGCTTGGCATCCAGGCAGACCACTATGGAAGGGCATCTACTGGGTTCCCTCTGGCCCCTGACCTCCCAGGCCAGTGAGCCCTCAATGCAGCTCTCTCCCCTTCTATTCATAAACTTTCTCTGAGTCTGAGGACCACACATAACCTCGTTTATCATTTCCTGAGCCCCTACTGTGTGTGCCAGGCTCTTTGCAAGTTGCTGAGGCTACAGAGAATCCATAGTAGATTTTATGAGGCTGCAGTCTGGTGGGAAGCACTGTCACGGAGGTGTGAACGGGGTGACTGGACCCAGAAGACTTCCTGGAAGAGGTGACATTTGAACTAGTCTTCAATGATAAGTAAAAGACTATTAGGCACACAAAGGACATGTTAGGCAGAAGGAACAGTACATGCAAAGACACAGAGGCAAGAAAGAGTAGGGTGACTTTGACAAGTACAAATGGTTTGTGTGACTGGAGCCCAGGTGTGCACCACTGTGCACTGAGCATGGTTGCAGCCAAGTGGACAGCGAGGGAAAGAGGTGGGACCTGACTCACCTAGGCTAAGAGGTCTACCAAGGTATCTGGATTGACCCAGGCAGTGACAGGAAAGTAGAAAAGCTGCCAAATAGGAGAGTGGTATATCCAGAGTTGTACCTTAGAAAGGCTACTCAGACCCAGAATTAAGGAGGAGATGGAGTGGAACAATATGTCAGAGGCCAGGACAGATAGAAAGCTCTTGGGAACAGAACAGATGAAAAAGGAAGAAGGCATGAACCAAGCCAGCAGCAGCACAGAACAGAAAAAGACATTCATATTTGGAAGATTCAAGGGGTTGCAATGACAAGGTTTAGTCATCATTTGGATCTGGGGTTTGGCAAAAGAACTGGATCTAGAATGACTCCCAGCTTCCTGGCTTAGGGCACTGGGTGAAGGTGATAAGGATAGGTTACCGAGAATAGAGCGGAGCTGGGTGCCAGTGGCTCACGCCTGTAATCCTACACAGGAGGCAGAGATCAGGAGGATAGCAGTTCAAACCCAGTCTGGACAAATAGTTCTCCAGACCCTATCTCGAAAATACCCAACACAAAACAGGGCTAGTGGTTTGGCTCAAGTGGTAGAGTGTCTACCTTGCAAGCATGAGGCCCTGAGTTCAAACACCAGTGCTGCCAAAAAAAAAAAACGAGAGAGCAGAATTTGGGCAAGGGTTGAGTTTGAGATAAAGGACACCCATGTAAAGATACCAATAGGCTGGTGGAAATACCAGGTAGAAAAGAGGCCTGGGTGGGAGATCTAAATGCAGAGGCATTAACACACAGCTTGTTGTTGAAGCCATGGGCTAGGACAATGGGCGTTAGTGGAGCATTGGGTGGATGAGAGAGCTCCACCTCCAGCCCACTGGGTTACAGAGGACCACTAGGAACGAAGAAGAACTTTACTGATACTCTAACTCCTTGTTCTACAGAAAAGGAACTAAGGCTTGGCTCCCTGGTGCTTCCAAGGGCAGGGACAGCACAGGAGGGATGCTGTCACCAGCAGTTCACTCTTATGAAATAATTCCACCTAGTTCTGTCCTTACCACTTGGGGCCTAGGTCCCAAAAACCCATGGTCCTAAAGGCTGAGACCAGAATCTGCCTGATCTCAGGCCATGGTGCCAGGTAAATGTGGAAAGGACTAAGGCCATTCAGCACCACATCAGAGGAGCCACGTGGACGTGGGCAAAGCAGAAGTCCCCTGGGAGTAAGGGCCATGGACTGATCAGCCAGGAAAGTTCCAGGTTCCTTTGTTCCAAATTGCAGGGCTGCCTGCTTTCTCTCTTGGACTTCCAGGCTGGGAGCTCATGTGCTCTGGGTAGAATGTGGTAAAGGTGGTGTTGGGGGCCTGACAGGGTCCTCACAAAACACTGGTCATCTCTCCAGGCATCTGTGGCATTCCCAGAGTTGTCAATTCTTTGTCTGGGGTGCTGAGGGAAGAAGACAGTAGGAGCCACCAGCCCCTACCTTACCTTCCCAGGGACCTGGCATCCTAGGGATTTACCTGCCTGTGACACCAGAGATAACTTAGCTCTTCTCCCTCACCTCAGGCCCCAAACTGTCCCTGATGAATGCCAGCCACCTGTGCCCACTCAGGACCAGGCAGGTAGGAGACAGCCTGGAGTGTTTTTTCTGGTTTTTTATTTGAAAACCCCAGGGTGTGTCCCCACCCTCACCACACCCATTCCCTACCATCACCCTAGGACATGACAATGTCACACGCACACACAAGGCTGTGAGCTGCACACAGGAACACAGGGGCTGCGCTCACGACAACATTGAAAAAATATACATTATATATAATACACCTGGGGCCCCCACTACCCTCTGGTTCCCACAACCCCGGCACAAGCAGGTTGTGGAGGAAGAGGCAGGGCCTGCAGGACCCCAGGACTGCAAGGGCAGGAGGGGAAAGAGGACAACAAAGGAAGGAAACTGGGAAAGGTGGAGGAGCGGGGGGGCCCCAGAGTGAAGTGGAAATGGAGGTGAGGGGATCATAAGAGAAGGGGGAGCAGCTGAAGAAGACTCCTCCCCCGAGTGGACAGTACAGAGTAGAGAAGGGCAGAGGACTCCCCTCAATCCCACCCCCACCCAACCATGGCTGTTGGCACCCTCTCCCCAATACAGTACATGACTGGTGTGAGGAGACAGAGACAAGGGTGAGCATCTGCCACCTTTCCAACAGAACCAGCTGGGGTGCCACAGGAGCACACCAGAGGAAGGTCAGCTGGTGGCAGAGGCAGGTAGAGGAGGGGTAGGGGTGACCCCAGTGAGCCCCACTGGGGTTTTGAGATTGAAGGAGTGCTTGTTCTGAAGAGCTCTCTCTTGGTCTCTCTTCTCTCAGAATGCCCTTCTCCCTTTCTTTCCTGGGTATCTCTGTCTCTCCAGGGCAGAATTCCTTCTGGGCAGGGGTGTAGCCTCAGTAGCGGTGTGGGGGATTCTCAATGATGCGTCTCTCATCACTGCTGGGGGAGTCAGCTGCCTCTGAGTCACTGCTGTCCTCGTCCTCCTGCTGGCTACCAGCAGCCCCTGCCACACAGGCCTGCTGATTCTGGTAGGACTGGAAAGAGCAGGAACAGAGAAGGGGAGGGATCAGCAGCCTTCCCACACCCCAGAGCGTGTACTTTGTGGGGCCATCCCTCCATCAGTCTCTTTACCCCCTCTCTGTCCTCCCCAGTCTAATTCTTCCTCCTCCCTGCAATTTGGCCAAGAGCCTTCACCCAGGACCCCATATTAGGGGTCTTTGCTATGTAGGTTCCAGCTGAAACCTGACTCTGCCAGACCTCACCTTATTTCTCAGGCTCACTCACCTCCATGGGGTTCACAATAATGGTGAGAGCAGAGTCATCCCAGAAGAGATCCGGGTCTTTGGGGTCACTGGAGGCCCCTGGGGACCCACTGGCCCCTGACACACGCCGGTGAAGGGAGTGGATACGCACGAGGCCCAGGACAACCATGAGCACCAGGAAGCCCACGCACACCACAATGATGAGAGTCGCAGCACTTGGGACCACTGCAGGGAGAGCGAGGAGGTCAGGGAAACACGGCACACCTGGGGGGGGCGGGGCTGGGACACAGGGAGGCGAGGGCAGCTGTGCGAGAAGAAGCTGCCTGGCAGGAGGCCTGGAGGAAGAGGACAATATCCACGGTGGCCCGGAGGAGGCAAACTGCCTGAGAAGTGGGAAGAGAAACAGAACCTATAGGAAACAGAAGGGACAGAGTGCAGCAGCTGCTGCACAGGCCAAAGGGACACATGGACAGGGAGGCAGGTGTGTAGAGGGGGAATGGGCTGGGAGGAGAAAACTCTGGCCCAGCACTGCTATGAAAAACCCTAATGTCAGCAGACAGAGGGCAAGGACTGGAAGCTGTCTGTGTCTTTCTACCTGTGCCTTCCCCAGAGACCCCGTAGCCTAGAAAGAGACATTCGTGCCACTCAACCACTCAGACTTGACTGAGGCAGGTGGAGAAGTAGTCCCCATGTTTAGTCTGGCTACTCAGAAAGGGTCCTGACCCCAAGGCTGGAGACAGGTCCAAGGGACAAGAAGTGCCCCTTCATTTACTCACCTGGACTGAGTTCCCTCCTGCTCCGTGATACCTCCCGTCTCCTTGTGGGCTCAAGGCTCCTGGATATATGGGGCTTCTGTTCCTCCCTAGCCTCCCCCTGAAGTGCCTCTGGCACCTGATTGGCGCTTTCATTCCTCTGGCCTTCAAGTCTCACTTTGATGCCCAGGTTCAGGGGCACTTGGACCCTGACAGGCAGCGAGATACGCAAGGGCACATGCACTCTCACACGGACCTGGGAGCTGACGGCAGCAAAGCAGACATGCATGCACAGGTACGTGCCCAGGAAGAGCCCGTGGGCACACATCTGGATGAAGGTCGCCATGCCCCACACCTGAGCCAGGCCTCTGCTGGCCCACACACCTGCCTGCACCAGCCACCTGGCACCCTTCTCACACAGCGGGATTAACGGACTGTGTCTCAGGGTGTCCAGCAAGACACAGAAGAGCCATGTGTACAGTGCCACCCAGCTCCCTGCCAGCTGGGCAGACCAGGCAACCCCCTGAAGGAAGACGTAAATACCACAGACTTGGGCCATGAGGGCTACCGAGAAAGCAGCTGTGAGCACAGCCCTGCTTACCTTCTGCACATACACACATAGCACTTGGAGAAGCAGGAAGAGGCAAAACACGGGAGTCCACAGCCTCAGCGACAGCCAATAGAGGTAGAGACCCCAGAAATGTACCCCCAAGCCCAGAACCCTTGTGGGCAGCTGGGTCACTACACACTTCATGGCTTTACACCCCTGCACGGTAGTTTGACCCTGGGCAGTACTGCTGCTGAGGGACTGGTTGTGTGTGTGCACCCCCGACACACACACACACAGACCAGCACTCAAGCAAGCCCCTGGAGACGTGCATTCGTGTGTATGTGCACACACACATTATATTCCACCCAATCCACAAGCGACCTACATCCTAAGACTTACATGTCAAGGGGTAGAGCATAACATAGAAAAGCATATGGCATGGAAGTCCCCACGTATACCCTTCTAAAGACCCCGTCTCACCGACATTCAACACACTCACACTGCCACCTGCTCCAGGACTAACCAGGTGTGTGGAGAATGTCTGTGTGGGCAGGCTCACCAGTCACACAACTCCCTAAGACCGCCCTGATGACTTTCTGCCAAGTCGGTCCCTATCCTGACCTGACCCATAGCCCACTTGGGGCCACTTGCCAAATAGAGCTGACTCTATGGGAACAGGGCGGTAGGCTCCCTGGGCACTGGCTTCAAGACAAAAAATGGCCCGGCAGGATTCACATTTCTCAACTGCCTGCAATGGGGGAGGAGGAGAGAAGGGGACAGAGCTGCCCTTTTTGCCGCTCTGTCCAAAATAATCCCTCCCAGGTCCCCAAGTCAGTAGAAGTGACCCAGATGGCCCCTGTGTCCAGGCTCTAGAAAGAGAGGCAACACCACCCTCAGAATGGAGGCCACAGCAGATGAATTTGCACCATGGGCATAATGACAACAAGACAAAATCAAATCTTTTCTCCCTCTGAGCTTAAGAAAGACAAAATGCAGGCAATCTATCTGTAAGCAAACAAGCCTAGTTCATTAGTTTATGATAAACCAGGAGGCCAGGGTGATGGGAGGATTTTTAAATTAGCCAGAGACAAAAATCAAGAGTATAAGAAATCCAGTCAACCTTTCTTGATTTCTAGACCCAAGCTTTGAATAACCTCTACTGCCAACATTAAGGGGTGTTTTAGCAAATGAACCATGTAATAATCCTAAAGACACTGTTGAAAGCCCTGTGGTTGCCACAGCCCCATATGGCACCCTCTTTACAGAGAAAGAGCCTCAGGAGAATCATCCTTCTGCTCTCATCTCAAGGCTTCTCTTGAAAGGCCAGTTGCTTTCTAGCCATGACTTTATACTGCTCAGGTTTCTTTTTGCTTTAGTCACCAGGAAGCTCAAAGTCAAAATTCTGGCCCACATTTGCAACTGCACAGTATCTCACAGTATGTATTCTATGAACTAATGTTATTTCCCGGTTTCATCTCATTTTTCATCATTACCCTTTCCTCCTTACTTCCTAATTCATTTTCTTTTTTTTTAAAGTGATTTTGGATTGGTAGTTGCCTTTCCTGTTTGTTTGTTTGGAGGGATTGGTTGGTTTGGGGGTTTGTTGTTGTTTTGGGTAGTATTGGGTTTAAACTCAGGGCCTTGCACTTGCTGGACAGGCACTCTACCACTTAGGCCACACCCCCAGCCACGTTGGCCTGGACTGTAATCCTCCTATTTAAGCTTCCTGCATAGCTGGGATGACAGTGTGTACCACTGCACCCAGCTTTTATTGGTTGAGATGTGGCTCTCTGAACTTTTTGCCCAGGCTGACTTTGAACTCCTGGACTCACGTGACCCTCACACCACAGCTTCCTGAGTAGCTGAGACTTCAAGTCCTGTGCCTGGCCCATTTCCTTTTTACTTCTGTTTCTTTGTTAAGTCCTTCAGCAAAGTGTCAGATACTTGTAGAAAACAAAGTAGGGAAATGGTTTCCAAACTCTGCTACACGGTTGAACTATGTGGGGATCTTAGAAAACACTGAAAATTGGCTCTTACCCCCAAATATTCTGATTTCATCAATTTGGAGTCTCACCTAAGGCATCAAGAGGCTTTTTGTTTTTTGTTTTTTATGGAACTGGGGTTTGAACTCAGGGCTTCAGTGCTCTACCACTTGAGCCATGTCTCCAGTCCATTTTGCTCTGATTATTTTTGGAGATGGAGTCTCTAGAACTATCTGCCCAGGCTGGCCTCGAACCATGATCCTCCCAATCTCAGCCTCCCAATTAGCTAGGATTACAGGCGTGAGTCACTGGCACCCAGCTAACACCAATAGTTTTAAAGTTCCTCATGTGATAGTGATATGTACCAAAGTCTGGGATAACTACATAAATAGTGACCTCGTCATCTTCTCTCACTCTCCTCAGACAACTTTGTTCTCCCTAACCATAAACACCCTTCACCACCATACCAAATTCCCAAATTCTCATTCTCTCTCATGCTACATTATAGACCTTGTACTCTCCAGGGTCCAAGTTCAAGTGCTACATACACCACAGAACAATGCATATCCATCTCATTTTTCTGGTTCACTTAGGAGCTGTAGAGAAATGGGCTTCCATTCCAATACAGGACATTACATCTCTTATTGTTTCTGCATGTTTGGAGTAGTTTGACCTGTGAAAACCCAACTCTGTAACACATCTTGGGCATGTGAGGAAGGCGAGGGAACACCTTGGGGAGCCAGAAAAGGCATACAGAACAGATTTGATGAAGTGGGTCACCTGGTGCGCTCAGGCCATGTGGCTCACTAATGGCCTCAGGGAAATTGTGAACTCTGTGCCTACACAGCCAAAACAAGGAAAGAAGCAAAGGTGAGTGTTGCTCTCAGTTGAGATCTCAGAGGGAAGCTTGGATGGATGCTAGATGCCAACTCAGAACAAAGGGCAGGGAGCCTGGACTCTGCTGTGAGGAGAAGCAAGGCTCACAGCAGGATATCTGCTGGCAGTGTCCAGGTATAAGGGTGACAGACACTGCCCACAAGGTCAGTTAGTCAGGGTGGGTGGACACTGTGAGGAGGAAGTTCTGGACAGTTAGAGCGAGGACTTCCTCAGATAGGACCTCACAAAGAAAGTAAGGGCTGAGATCTCACCAGGCCCAGCATTACTGGATCTACTGTGAGCCTTATTGAAGCGGCAGGACCCAGTATTCAACCCAGAAAAGGTGAATGGGGTGATTCCCAAGGAAAGAACTAGGAAATCATGAGAAGGAAAAAAATCTAGCACCAAGGGCTAAAAAAATAAAAATAAAACAGGTTTAGTTTGTTAACATGTCTTCATCGACTAAATATTGTGCAAAGCATCTTTGAACCTTTGCAACTTGGTTATGCCCTGTATCCCCTCCTCGCCTCCATTTCTATCTACTGTGCTGTAATGGATCACAGTAGATCATACACAAACGCCTCTGCTGTTCTTTTCAGAGAGAGCAAGAAAAGGAGCTAAGTCTGGGGAAAAGGAGGCACAGAGACAGCATAGGTAGTAGCACTTCAAGAGGAGAGGAAACCAGATTGAATCCTTGACCTCAGTCAGAGAAGTCCTGGGAAGGCCTCAGAGCTCCCTCAAATTAGGTGCAACTCTAAAATAATGATACTAATAAAAAAATTAAACATAAAACATATGAAGAAGGGTTGAGGGCCAAAGTTAGGCTCTGAAATTGAGCTGCCTGGATTTGGATCCCGGTTCCACCTTTTTTCTAGCTGTGTGGCCTTGAGTAAGGTACTTGACCTCTCTATGCCTCCATTTCCTTGCATTTAAAGAAAATAACTTGTCAGGCACAGGTGGCTCACACCTGTACTCATAGCTATTTGGGAAGCAGAGATCAGGAGGATCATAGTTCAAAACAGCCCCAGCAAATACTTCGAGAGACACTATCTTAAAGAAAACAGGCCTGATGGAGTGGCTCAGGTGATAGAGTGCCTGCCTAGCAAGTGTGAGGCCCTGAGTTCAAAATCCAGTACCGCAAAAAATAAAGGGAATAACTCTAGTACCTGTTTCATTTGTTGTTTGTAATCACTAAATTAGTTAATGACAGCTCCTGTTTGTCATCCTAATATAATTACCACTCCATGTACTGAAATGAGCACTTACTTTCATGGCAGTCAGCTAGGGACCAGGAACTTCCTCCACAGAAGCATTCATGGAACTCCTTAGGGAGCCCACGACACGACCTTTTGACATTTTTCAAGTGACAATTTGTGAGTGGGTTTAATGTTTAAAAACTTAGAATGGTTTCCAGAGCCAACCCTGATAAAAGTGGATGATGAAACTTTGTAATACTGAATGAGGCCAAAAGCGAGCTGTGTCTCAAAAGCGACAAAAATACATGCACATCATAAATTGGCTTTGAAAACAACTATAAAAAGGGATTTCAAAAATCACTTTCAGGTCAGCATCATTTTTTGGCTTTTAATAAGGTAGAAGACTTGTTTCATAATATGAGGCATAAAAACATTATGTTATAAAATTGTTTTTTTAGTTTGTTCCTTTTTGTTTTTGTTTTTGGTGTGACTGGGTTTTTGAACACAGGGCTTTGCTCTTGCAAAGCAGACACTCTTACCACTTGAGGCATACTCCAGTTCATTTTGCTTTGGTTATTTTGGAGATAGGGTCTTGAGAACTATTTGCTCAGGCTGACCTAGAATCTTGATCCTCCTAATCTCAACTACCTAAGTAGCTGAGATTACAAGGGTGAGCCACCATGCCCAGCTTGTTGTTTGTCTTTTGGTGATACTGGGTTTAAAACTCAGAGCTGATAGGGTCTTGCATTTCTTCCCTGGGGTTGGCCTCAGACCTCAATCCTCCTATCTGTGCCTCCTGAGTAGCTGGGATTTACAGTTGTGAGCCACCATGTCCAGCTGACAAAACAGTTTGATCTCAACTTTGTAAAGAGAAAAAAAAAAAGAGGCATGGAAAAAAGACTGGAATATAATACACCATTTCGACAGTAGTCACCTCTCTCTGTTGGAAACAAGGCTGAGTTTTTTCTTTTTCGACAATTAATCCACTCATACTGGGAAGTAAAAGTTGCACCATGGCAATGACTCAGGGCTCACCTTCTTCACATGGGGAGTTAACGGTCCACTGAGATAAAGGGATTAGTCCACAGCTGTTACCTAAGGCAGGTACCACAATGCTCCACCCCCTTCTTCCCTCCCAAGGATGCCCACCCCATGCTACCCAGCCCCACTCAGCTTACGTACTGGAGTTCCTATGGGAGCTGGCCAGGCTGTGTCCAGCCATCTCAGGGGGAGGCTGGTGACCCCGGTGCAGGAACTGCTGGGAACTGAGCACATGGCTGGGATGGGCAATCCGGTTCATGCTGTGCAGGACATTGACCTGGCAGAGGGAAGGCTCCATGGACTCACCTGCTTTTCCCCAGGCTCCGCCCACCCCTGTAGCGCACACCTCCATCTTTTAACTATGGCCCTACATGGCCTCCTTCTCCTCCACCCACTGCCAGGTCCTCCATGCTGCAACTTCCCTGCCCACCCACCAGTCCACCCTGACTCCTTGCCAGGGGCAGGTGGCTATGGAAGGAAGGAGTCTCTAGGTACCTCCACAATGAATTCATTGCTGGAGTAGCGGCCATTCATTTCTGAGCAGGAAAGCCGGAATTTCCTGGCATAGAGGGCAGCTCCATGTCGCAGTCGATAACGAGCCTGCCTCAGGATCTCTTCATACACAGTGATGCTCTCCACCCCTGGGGGACGAGGAGGCCACTCAGTGTAGGGGCCAGCGAAGGCAGACCCAGAGCAGTGCCCTCTCCCAGGGTCCCACCAGCTGACAAAACCCAAACCCAACAGACTCTCAGAGGAAGAAGTGGTCCTAGCTCCCCACCCGACTCTGATGAGCTAGGACAGAACCATGCAAGTTCCATTTCCTCTCTGCCTTCTCTGCTAGCTTCAGAGCTCCCAATTAAGAAGGGAAAGAAGGACATAAGGACATGCTACAAGACAAGGGAAGTAGCAAGTAGAAGGGAAACGAGAGCCTAGCCATCTTCTCCCACTCTCCTCCCTGGAGGGAGACTAGCAAGCTTTAGAAACCACCAAATCATCATGCCCCACTAATTGATGAGCACTTAAAGTGATGGTGTGTGAGTGAGGTAAGTGAGCTAGAAAACAGAAAAGATGAGCAATACCAGAAAGCTAAAGGAACAGAATGCTAGTCAGGGAAGACTAGGCCAAAGCAGAAAGAGATGACAAAGACTTGAAGGGAAACAGGAGTGGAACCAGGAGTAGAGGTGAGCTAAGCTACGGAGAGGAGAGGAAAGAGAGAAACCTCTGGAACCTCTACCCCAGCACCCTTCCTCTACGTACAGTCTGGAAGTCACAGGGTCTTCCAGCTGAGAAGATACAAAATGGCACTTGGCCACATCCCTTGGCCTGGTAGGGGGATGCTCTGAGTTTCCCAGGTACTTACTCATGGGGAGAGGCACACACATACAAAAAGAGGACAGGCTCTTGGCCCACTGACCAGCAATGGTGAGGTAGGCAGAAGTGTTGGTAAGCTCCAGGCCTCGCTGCTGCAAGGATGCCATGTCCAAGAGCAGGCTTTCTCTCTCAGGGTCAAGGTCATCCCCCACAAGAGAAATTTCACAGCCATCCAGGTTGTGCACAATTTCATCTGACATGCGTGTGTCTGTCACTGGGTAGGAGAGAGTCAGGGTCTGGGTCAGAGCTGAACCCACTAAGGTTCTGAGAGCTGGTCATCATTACCACCTCAGGGCCGCCCCTTGTCCCCTCTTAAGGTCACTTCTTAAAGGAAGTCAGCAGCATCACTACGAACATCATTACACATCAGTATCCTTATACACATGGGCCACCCCCAGCTTGGATTCTTAAGGGTAAGACAGTCTAGCTCATACCAACACAGAAGGAAGCCACCCTCCAGGTCCAACCCCAGATCTACTCCCTCGTTCTGGTTCCACACATTGGCACGTCTCTGAATGACATAACTCTCGGCAGTAATCCTTACCCGTGCCCTGCCAACTTTCGTCTTTATTGGCCTCCACTTGGTGAGAAATAGAGCAAGTGATTTGAAGATCAGGAAACAAAGGGACCCCCTCAGGGCCCTCAAAGTCCACAGCTGGGCGGGCAAAATGAGCTGTGCCACTCAGCAAGATCTGGGGGGCATCCGGCTGAAGAACCACCACATAACCCTCCACTTCGGGGATAGAGACACAGGACTCCTCACTGAAGCACCTACGTGAGAAAAGGAAGTGAGGCAGCTTGTGACCCCAGGAGCCCCTTCCTTAAGATCTAGATTCTGCTTTATCCCTTTGGGCTGCCAATTCTACAGACAGCACCATGCCAGAGAGGGTAAGGGGAGAAGGGGAAGCAGTGTCTCTGCACCCCAAACCCCACAGCAAAGTTGGAAAAGGAGATCTCCCTTTCCTGGTAGGACATAACTATAGGAAAAGGTCAGGGTCAGGAGAAACAGCCCCAATCTGTGGGGGTGATCATATCATCAATTCCATACCCCAAGATTACAGAATGTCTATCAAACTCTATTTTAATGAAAGATGAGAGACTGAACTAACAAAAACAAAAACATACATGTGTACAGTCCTTTACTCCTGTGGCAAAAATTACATGAGTTTAACACAATATGTGGAAGATATCTGCCCCAAAATATCTGACATTGAAAGTGGAGTAGGGTGGTATATCTATCAACAGGTGTTCTTTTATTTGGCATGGCTTCCATTCCCTTCACTGTTAAAAGAAATGGACAGGTAGGTGAGATAACCTGACCTTGGACCTAGATGAACCATCCCATGTAGCTGATTGACCTGGATATCAGCCTAGAGGACTCAGCCAGGCCAAACAACCAACAGGACAGTTGCTCGGAGCTGCGTTCCCAGGAGCACCTCTAGCCTCGCCCTTTGCTAATACAATGACATATCATAATCTCATAGTACTTGCTAGTTAATGAAGCATTTTGCTCACATTATTTCAGGTGTATAGCCTTGTTTCCATGCTGTAGAATAGATGAGAAACCAAAGCTCTTAGGCCAAGCATCTGGGCCACACAAGGAATGTGTCAGAGTCAAGACTTAAACTGCAGTCCACCAATCTTTCCACTAAACCACAGCCAGGATTGGGGGCCAGGGAAATTTACTTATAAAGAAGTCTCCTGCTATGGTTTGAATGTGTTATCAAAGTAGTATGTGTTGGAAACTTAATCCCTAAGGCAACAGTGTCAGGAGGTGGGGCCTAATGGAAGGTGTTTAAACCATGAGCACTCCATCCTCATGAGAAGGACAATACTGACTACATTGGGTTCCATCCCTCCTTTTCTTTCTGCCCTTCCACCATGGGATGATGCAACAAGACAGCTCACAACGAATGCCAGCTCAATCTTGGCCTTCCCAGCCTCCAGAACTAAAAGCAATAAATCTCTGTTCTTTATAAATTATCCAGTCTCAGGTATTCTGGTATAGCAGGACAAATGGACAAAGACAAGAAACTAGTATCAGAGAAATAGGATGTTGCCATAACAAATACGTAAAAATGTGGAAGCAGCTATGGAGCCAAGTAACGGGTAGAGGCTGGAACAGTTTTAAAGAGAATTCTGGGGAAAAGCCTGTATTACCATGAGAAAAGCAGCAAGGTAATTCTGGTGAGGGCTCAGACAAGAAGAACTTCAGGGAAAGTGTGGAACATCTTAGAATTTACTTAATAGAATACTCATGGTAAGCTGGGCATGGTGGTGCATACCTGTCATTCCAGCTACACAGGAAGTGTATATAGGAGGATTGAGATCCAGGCTGGTCCAGGCATAAATGAAAGACCCTATTTGAAAAATAGCTAAGGGCCGGGCATCAGTGGCTCACACCTGTAATCTTAGCTACTTGGGAGGCTCTGACATAGGGAGGATCAAGGTTCAAAGCCAGCCCAGGCAAACAGTTCAAGAGATCCCATCTTCAAAATAACTAGAGCAAAAGGTACTAGAGATATGGTTCAAGCAATACAGAGCTTGCCTTGTGCTTCCAAAGCCCTGAGTTTAAACTCCAGTCCCACCAAAAGAGAAAAAGAAGAGAGAAGACAAATAACTAAAGCAAAAAAGTCTAGAAGTGTTGCTTAAACACTAGAGCCTCTTCTAGCACAAGACCATGAGTTCAAATCCCCATACCAGGAAAAAAAAAGATTTTTTTCCCTGTTGGATTTTGGACTTCTTGGAACCAGTTTCCCTTTTCTTCTTTCTTCTTGATCCCTTTTAGAATGGGCATGTCTACCCTACAGTTGTCCCACCATTGTTTGCTCTCACAGGCTCATGGAATTTGCCTCACTCATATCTGATTTAAATGAGACACTGGATCTTAGACTTCTGAATTGGTAGTAGAATAAGACAAGACTTTGGAACTGTTGGAATGAATATATCTTGCATGTGACAAGAATATGAATTTGGGGAGCCAGAGGGCAAAATGCTATGGTTTAAATGTGTCCCCCAAGAAGTATGGGCTGGAAACTTAATCCCCAATGGAGCAGTGTTAGGAGGTAGGGTCTCTTAAATGTATTAATGCTGATTATGAAAGGGCTTAAAGCTGAGAGCTCAGTTTCTCTCTATCTCTCTATCTCTCTCTCCTCTCTCTTGTTCTTCTCTTCCACCATGGGGTGATGCAGCAAGTAGTCCCTAACCAGATGCAGATGCTATTCCCAATCTTGGACCTTCTAGCCTCCAGAACTATAAACAATAAATCTCTGTTCTTTACAAATTACCCAGTCTCAGATATTCTGCCATAGCAACACAAAATGGAGTAAGACATCCTCCTTAAACAAGCAATGTTCCCAAGTGAGTTAGCAATTCAGAAGAGGGACTCTGGTCCACATTCTTGTGCTAACTGAAATGACTGTGCTAAGAGATCTGTTATCATCAGTGTTCCTGATGTTGTTGGAGCCAAAATGGAGAAGGTGTACCTTTAGCTAATGTGATGAGCTCAAAGTTCCTGGAGTTACCAATGCCCATGACTTGCTGAGTTCCTGTGCCACACAGAGTAAGGCCTATCACAAGCTGCAAAACAACCCAGCCAACCCTGAAAACAAACACAGGCTCATTACCCGCTCCAGTGAACAGTGTTCTGCTCAAAGAGATCCAAACAGGAACAGGAGGCTGTGCCTGACCTAAAGGCAGAATGATCTGGTAGACAGAATAGATGTGGCACATAAACCTTGAACTGAGGGCAAGTGTGGTCATACAACCTAAATGGAATAAACAGAAAACCTCCAGAAGGGGAGGAAGGAGGGAAGGAACGGAAATACAATGGAGGGGGTGAACTTGTCCAACATACACTGTACCCATGTATGTAATTATCACAATGAAATCCCCTTGTATTATTAGTGTATGCTAATTCAAAAGGAAAATAGGGCTGGTGGAGTGGCTCAAGCAGGAAGAGCACTTGTCTAGCAAGCATTAGGCCCTGAGTTCAAACCCCAGTGCCACTAAAATTAATTAATTAATTAATTAATTAAAATAAAAACCTGTGAGAGTCCAGAGGAAATGGGAGTTATTTCTTCCCAGGATGGAATTGGAGTGCTTGGAAAAGAAGCATCAGAATAATCAATATTATCAGCATCTGAGCTGCTTTGAAAGATGATAGGACTTTGCTACATGAGGAACATGAGGCAGGAAAGGCAGGTGGCTTAGGGCCTTGAAAGTAATGATAAGAGTTCAGTTTGTTGTTTCATGCTGTGGGCAAAAAGTCACTGATTTTGTGTGGGGGGAGGGAGGGACTGGGTTTTGAACTCAGGGCTTTGGCCCACCTCCAGCCCATTCTGCTCTGGTTATTTTGGAGATGGGGTCTCACAAACTATTTGCCTGGACTGACCCTGATTCAAGATCTTCCTGGTCTCAACTTCCCAAACAGCTCGGATTACAGGTGTGAGTTACCAGTGCCTGGCTCATTGATGTCTTTTTTATCAGTACAGTATGCTTATGAAAAGTCTGATTTGACCCAGGTGTGGTGGTTCATGTCTATAATCCCAACATACAGGAGGCTGAGGCAGTAGTATCACAAATTTGAAGTCAGCCTGAACAATATGAGACCTTGTCTCAAAAAAAACCATCTGATTTAAGAACACTCTCCTAGCTCCTGAGTAGAGGATTAGAGCTAGGTCAACTAGCTAGGAGGTGAGGTAAATAGGCCAGGCAGAGGTAATGAGGGCTTGGCAGAAATGAAAAAGAGAAGACAGATTCTTGGGCTGGGGGCATAACTCAAGTGGTAGAGTGCCTACCTAGCAAGAGTGAGGCCCTGAGTTCAAAGGAAAAATAAATAAATAAATAAATTGTCAAAGAGGAGACAGATTCCAGAGGTATCAATGACCTAGGCTACCTGGCAGCTAATGGGCATGAAGGATAAAGACAGGCAGGAACCAAAGATGACTCAAGGGTTTTAAGCCTGGGTAACTGCAAGGACAGAGACATCATTAGAAAGAGAAGTTGGGGGAGTGGTTATTTGGGGCATTGGTTATTTAAAGTAAATTATTTCAGCATTGGCTCATCTGGGTTGAGGTGCTGGTGGAACTTCTGGATAGAGGTTATAGCAAGAAGTATAAATTCAAGAGCTGTGTAAAGAGGGCAAAGCTAGAGAAAAAGATGTGGTTTCCATTTATTCAGGGAGTTAATGCCATGAATAGACTGGATTTCTAAAAACTAGATTAAAATTCAAAAAAAAATTAAGGCCAGGTACCAGTGGTTTATGCCTGTAATCCTAGCTACTTGGGAGGCTGGGATCAGGAGGATCACAGTTCAAAGCCAGCCCAGGCAAATAGTTTATAAGACCCCATTTCTAAAATAACCACACCAAAATGGGCTAGAGGTATAGCTCAAGAGGTAGGCTGGGGGAGTAGCTCAAGTGGTAAAGCTCTGCCTAGCAAGTATGATGCCCTGAGTTCAGACCCCAGCACTGCCAAAAAAAAAAAAAGAGGTAGAACACCTGCTTTGCAAGTGTAAAGCCTGAATTCAAATCCCAGTTCCACCCCCCCCCAAAAAAAAACACTTTGGAAAAACTTGCATTTAAGCATTAGCTAAATAGTTGCATAAATCTGGCTTAAATGAACAGAGGTCCAAGCACTGAAAGCTAGAAGCTACAGAAGTCACATGGACAAGGGGAAGGATATTCGTCGGAGATGGAGAGGTACTGATAGGTACCTATCTCTCTCTGTTATACACACCCTTCTATATTTTCTCCCATAACCTCAGGAAAGTATTAAGGTGGCACTTGTGGTAGCCCTAGAAATGGAGAAAGGAGACCTTTCTTTCTTAACCTCATAAAGAAACTGTGAAGGCTCCTTCCTTCTCCTGGAGGACCAACGTCAGGCTCCAAACCCTTGGATAAGCCCCTGTTCCAGGCCCAAAAAAGAAAAGAGGAACTCAGATGAGCCTTTTAACCAAGAGGATGTCTGTCACCTCTTCCCCATGTGGGGACTCTCCTTGCAGAGCTTCACCCTAGGCCAAAACACAGAGCCCTCTCTTGGACAGCTAGAGGACTGACTATGGCATGATGGGGTGCTTGGTACTCAATTCTAATCTATGCTCACATGACACACCATTACCTGTGACCTTCATTTCTATGCCATGACCACGACATGGCCCAGTAGCCCAATTCCCAAAGGCACTGCCCCTTCATTAAGCATGATCATTGTGCCCAGTGATTGGGCTCAGGACCCTCTCTCCTCTAAATCCCCCCCACCCCTAGGACATCTGAATCTGCATGCTTCAAATAACTTATGAAAACTGGAGAAAACAGAAATCCTGACTCCTAAATTTTGTAATCTACCCACTAGATGGCAGTATTTCCTAAAAAAAAAAAAACAAAAAAGCCTGCCCCTTAGACCACAATAAGGAGTGGTCTAAGTCAACATTTACAGTAGGCATTCTGCTAGGCATTTGCTCTGGAGTGTATCATTTAGTTCTCATAACAATTCCATTAGTTAGGCTCTATTATTTCCCCTGCTTTACAGCATTTGCTAAATTTGCTAAAAAGCTGTGTCCTTAACTATTAGGCTTTCATTGCCTGTCAACTTGTCTTTTTAAATACCTAGCATATACGTACACCTTGAAATAATCTACAGTTTTTACTTTAAGGAATTTAAAATCATTTTGTTAGAATTCAAAGGTCAGCAACCTTTTTCTGTAAAGGAGCAGATGACAAACATTCTCATTTTTTTTTAAGACATACAGGTCTCTGCCCCAACTACTGAGCTCTGCCAGCACAGTATGAAAACAGCCATGGACAAATGCAAATGAATGGGCATGGCTGTGTCCCAATAAAACTTTATTTACAAAACAGACAGCAGGCCATATTTTGCCTGGGACCATAGGTTGCCAGTCTCTAGACTTGGATCATATTTGACTTTGCAAAAGCTTGATGAAGCAAGATTAAAATAGGCAAAACAACTAGAGTTCACCATTTGCTCAAGGTCATCCAGCTATTTAGTGTTGAGTCAGAGTAAATGTCATATCCCCTAGCTCCCAAACTTCTCTGTCCCATTTAATATATCAGCTCAGAGGCATGGAGAAGATCATATTCCCAAATCCTGGAGGTGTGGCTTAGTGGGAAGACTAATGAACTGGTTTTTAGGAAAGCAGAATCTAGTCCAGGCTCTTCTACCAACATTATATTGACCTTCAGCAGGTCAGTTGTCCTCCCTGGGGGGTCCAGAGAGACACAAAATGAGGGAAATATGGCTAGCTCTAGGTGACATGCTAGGCCAAGAAGTCATGACACTGTCTGGCTCTGCTCTGATTCACCCCGCCCATCCAACACTCACTTGACAGCAGTGGTGAGGCGCAGAGGCCTGACGCCAGGCGTGGCAAACCGCAGAGTGTTCATATAAGCCACGTGCTGCAGGGCATGGCTGAAGGTCTCCACATCATCCCCCTCCAGGGTGAGCAGGGACTGCGAGGGGTTCACGTGGACCTGGGCCCCAGACACAGACACAGCTGAGAGCAGGACCAGGAGGTGGGAGAGGAAGGGAACAGAGGAGTCCAGGGGAGGGGCAGGGGCATGCCCGGAAAGGGAATGCTAGAGGAAGGGGCTAATACCTTCATGCCTTTGCCCAGGCTCTCGAAATCCCTATAGTCCAGCCCCTCCCGACATGCATAGAGGCATTCGATGACCTCCCGGCTCTCCAGGCGACCTGAGCGCACGCTGAAACCAGCCAGGTAGCCATGAAAGTAGTGGTGGATCGGCAAGGGGTCTCCTAGGGCAGGAACACAGGAGCAGGCAAGGTGAGAAGAGGAAGAAAGGGGAGAGGAGGAGGAAACAAAGATGGGGACTGAGAGAAGGGGGAAAATAAGAGAACAAGAGGAAGATGAGAAAGAAAATGAAAAGGAGAAATATGGAAATGGAAGAAGGAAAGAAGAGGGATGAGAAGTGAGAGAGATAAGCGAGGATAAAGGTAAATTCTGGAGGGATGAGACACAACACAGGATGGGGCTGTAGCTCAGAGGTAGAGGGCTTACACAGCATGTGCAAGCCCCTGGGTTGGATCTCCCAGCAACACACAGAAAAAAGGAAGGAAGAAGAAGGAAAAAAGAGAAAACAGGATAAAACCAGAAGGAAAGAAAAGTGAAAAAGAAGCAATGGAAAAGTGAAAACCTTCTGGGAGGCAACAAGAAAAGGAAATCAGGACCAAAGGAAGGGAGGAGGAAAAACTTAACAGGAAAGGCATCTTCTCAGTGACATGCAAGGAGACCAGGATGAATGTGTGTGAGCTTCACAAATGCCCAGATCTTCACCTCCTGTGTGTCTGACTGCTGCCACCTCGTTTCTGCTATGCAGAAAGCCAGCAAGACAAACCCTCTGCATTCTGTGGACAGGAAACAATACCCAGAAGCCAGCCAAACTACATTCAGCCTTCCTACTCCAAAAAGACTCTGCCTTGCTGTATTTCTTGGGGGCTCTGCCCCTGGTGGCATGGAAAGCAGTAACTAACAGGATTTGCAGTAGGAAAAGGAACAATGATCAGAAGATTAAGATGAGAACTCTGGTCTTCAATTCTTACATACAGAATACCTTGAGTTGTGTCTGTACTGTTGTCTCCTCCTTTATCCTTCTCTTTGTTCTTATCCTCTGGGGAAAAAAAAACAAAGGTGGCAATGAGCTCAGGCTTGTGAGGACAGCTTGACAAGAGTAAGTCTTTCCACTGTTGGTGGGAATGTAGACTAGTACAACCACTCTGGAAAAAAATTTGGAGGCTACTTAAAAAGCTAGACATCGATCTACCATTTGATCCAGTAATACCACTCTTGGGGATATACCCAAAAGACTGTTACTCCAGAGGCACCTGCACATCCATGTTTATTGTGGCACTATTCACAATAGCCAAGTTATGGAAACAGCCAAGATGCCCCACCACTGACGAATGGATTAAGAAAATGTGGTATCTATACACAATGGAATTTTATGCAGCCATGAAGAAGAACGAAATGTTATCATTCGCTGGTAAATGGATGGAATTGGAGAACATCATTCTGAGTGGGTTAGCCTGGCCCAAAAGACCAAAAATCGTATGTTCTCCCTCATATGTGGACATTAGATCAAGGGCAAACACAACAATGGGATCGGACTATGAGCACATGATAAAAGCGAGAGCACACAAGGGAGGGGTGAGGATAGGTAAGACACCTAAAAAATTAGCAACGCAGAGAAACTAAAGCAGATACCTTAAAGCAACTGAGACCAATAGGAAAAGGGGAACAGGTACTAGAGAAAAGGTTAGTTCAAGAAGAATGAACCTAGAAGGTAACACCCACGCACAGGAAATCAATGTGAGTCAATGCCCTGTATAGCTATCCTTATCTCAACCAGCAAAAACCCTTGTTCCTTCCTATTATTGCTTATACTCTCTCTACAACAAAATTAGAAATAAGGGCAAAATAGTTTCTGCTGGGTATTGGGGAGGGAGAGGGAGGGGCAGACTGGGTGGTAAGGGAGGGGGTGGGGGCAGGGGGGAGAAATGAACCAAGCCTTGTATGCACATATGAATAATAAGAGAAAAAGGAAAAAAAAAAAAAAGAGTAAGTCTTCCTTGTGTCCTTGTGAGTCCTCTCATTGCCCAGGTACGATTTGCAGCCTCTTAAGGAAGTCCCAACCATTCTTTGTTCAGGCGCAATCTTTCAGACCTCTGTTACACACGACCCCCCAAATATGTTGCTGAGGAAACACGGGGTCCTGATAAGACAGGTGCATGCATGTACGCCTAGAAGAAAAAAAGAAAGGGCTTAAACGCTGGAAGACAATGACTCGCTGAAGAGTTGCTGTCCTCCAGCAAGGTAGTGGGTTGTGGAAATCTTCAATTTGCTAGAACAAGCTGGGAACTACCTGAAGTTACAGAAAGAGAGATTCTGGGGACACCTGAGAAGGAAATTTCTCCAAGTCAGAATTGATAACCCATAGAATGGGTGAGGATACGGGAGGCCGAGGTCAGCTCTGGTGGAGATCATTCAGAGTCACCCTGCCCAACTGCACAGAGACACATGCGGTGGCCTCAGCTGTGGGCTCAGACTGCCCTTGCTCCTCACCAGTCTATTTCCCCTCACAACCTTCAGCCATTGAGTCTTTGCTGAGCAGTGCAAGGGGGACCTACCTGTCCAGCAGGCCCCAATCATGAGTGCAGGTTCCCTCCGGGGTGGGTGGATGAGGCCGTTGTCATGGATGAGAGCAGGGTCAAAGGAGATGCCATCAGCATAGAGTGTAACTGTGGGGAACTCGAGGTTCAGAGCATAATGGTGCCACTCGTCGTCACAGACCTAGGAGAGTAGAGTGAGGGCAGGAGTCCCCAGTCACTTCCTCTTCAGGGAGTTAGTCCCAGTCCTGCCCCATCTCCTGGGAGACAAGGTCAGACCCAAATATCCCCCCAATAGGGCTGACTATCCAGCTCCGGGAATAACATCCTTGTCCAAAATCTATCAGGCAACCATCCTAGCATGGAAAATTCCACTTGTCAAGTAAATCCTAAAAACTATAAGCACAGAGCTAGGCACAGTGTCATGTGCCTAAAATCCAACTACCCGGGTGACTGAGGCAGGAGGACCACTTGTGCTCAGGAGTTTATGTTGCTGCACAACACAGCAAGACCCTGTCTCAAAAAACACCACCACCCCAAAAGAAAAAACACTATAAATGTAAAACTATGTTGCAAATAAATTTTTCCAAAGATTTCTTTTTTTTTTTTTTTTTTTTGCACTTTGGTTTTGAACCCAAAGTTTCAAGCATGCTAGGCAAGCACGCTACCACTGAGCTATATCCTGGGTCCCCAAAGAGTTCTCTTAAGGGCGGTACCAGGGTTTGAAACCAGTGCCTTGCGCATAAACCACTCCGCCAGCCCTTTTTGGTGTTGGATATTTTCTAGATAGGGACTCATGAACTATTTGCATAGGCTGGCCTCAAAATATGATCCTCCTGATCTCTGCTTCCTGAGTTAGCTAGGATTATAGGCATGAGTCAGTGGTTCCCAGCCTGATGACAGGTATGTGTGTATGGCTCTGGAATGGCTAGGGCAGCTTCTAATGCAATGGGAACCGCTGAAACAAATAATTGCTTCCATTTCTCTTAAGCCAAGATGTGGGTGGGATGGGCAGAGTAAGAAATGCAGTTCTCTGCCTATCAACTTCCCAGTGTTGGGTTCCCTCTCCCCTCCCCCTATACTCTCTTCATAGGAGTGACCTCCTCTGCTCAGATACCATATTCCAAATGAGAATTCCAAAGTCTCCATCTCCAACCCAGAGCTCCCTAAAGACTGGGCTCCCCACTTGGCTATCTCGCAGCCATCTCCAATATAACATGTGTAAGATGGAAGTCTCTGCCCTGTCCCACCTCCCAGTTTTCCCTGGGCAATATAAATGCTCCATTATCCATCCAGTTGCTCAAGCAGATGGCATGGAGTCAGCTTTGATTCTTCCTTCTCCCTCAACCACCACAGCCAATCCATCAGCAGGTGCTCTTGATCCCAGATCCAAACAGAACTAAAAGCTGTATGTTTCCATGCAGGTCTCACCATCTTCATGGGTACACATCAGTTGAGACCCCTTTCATGTGGACTCTTGCAACAGTCCTGTCTGTTTACCTCTAATCTTCTGTTTGTTTGCTTTTGGCAGTGCTAGAGATTGAACTCAGGACCTCGCACTTGCCAGGCAGGCATTTTATCATTTGAGCTGGGCCATCTCTTTTGGGCTTTTTGGTTGTTTTTCAGATAGGATCTCATGTTTTTGCCTGGGCCAGCTTCAGACCAAGACTCTCCTACCTCCACCTCCATTGTAGGCATGGACCACCATACTTGGCCAACCACTCATATCTCTTTTAATTCTTTTTTTCTTTTTTGGTGGCACTAGGGTTTGAACTCAGGGCCTCAGGCTTACCGGGCAGGTGCTCTTATGGCTTGAGCCACTCTACCAACTCCCCACCCCCCACTCATATCTCTTCAACACAGTCCTTCCACAGTTGTTCAAATGTAAATCTGGTAAGGTCACACCCCTGCTTTAAGCCCTTCAAAAAAAGGCTTCCTATCTCTCATAGGATAAAGTCTAAACTAACCCCAGGTGACAAAGTCCACTGTACAACCCAATCACTCCCCATCTCTCCAAGCTCATCTGCAGCCTTTCCTCTTGTCCACTGCACCCCAGCCTCACTAGCCTTGTTTCTGTGCTTGGAATACACTGAGTTCTTTCCTGCCTCAGGGCGTTTGCACCTACTTTTCCCACTCTTCACAGCCAGCTAGTTCTTATCCTCTATGATTAAGCTTAAATTTCACCACAGTTAGGCCTTTCCTGGACATCTGATCTAAGATGAGCTCCTCTCTCCTCTCCTTCCCCTCAAGTGAAGAGGAAGAGGAGGAGGAAGAGGGGGAGGGGGAGAAAAGAAAAAAGGAAAAAATCTATTTTCCCAACTAAAATGTAAGCTCAATGAAGGCAAAGATTTTGTTCCATTTTATACTCTACTATATTCCCAAAGCCTATCAAAATGACAGGAATTTAAGTGGTATTTAATAGATTTTTAAATAAATTAAAGAAAACTTGAAAGGGTAGCACTGACATTATTAGCAACAATGGGAAAAGATGGAGAAACAGTAAATGGCAGACTCTTCAAAACAGCTGGTGGAATGGCTCAAGTGGTAAAGCACCTATCTAGCAAGCATGAGGACCTGAGTTCAAACCTGCATACCACCAAAAAGGAGTGCCACAAATAGCAAAAGTTTTTTTAGACAGCCCTTAATTATCTGGCTTGCAAATTTTTCAGGTCCTTATTTCTCTTGCTCTTTTACTTTCTGTGTCTGTTTTCTTCTGGGTTTATTAAAGACTGTTTTTGTCATTTGCTTACTCAACCACTCTACTCCTGAATGAATGGAAACTCAAACTAGTTCTCAATAGCTCTTCAGCTTGGAGAATGAATGAAGAGACCACTCCGAGTGGAAGGGCACATGCCTATTGGAGGCTGAGGCAAGAGTTCTAGGCCAACCTGGGCTACATAGTGAGTTCATACCAGCCTGGACCACATAAGAAGAACTTAAAAAAATTTTTTTTTAAATACATTAAGTAAAATTTTAAAAAATAGCCTGCAACTGTTGGCTGAAGTGAGGGTTTAAAATTTTTGACCATGTTCGTTTACCCCTCATAATCCTGGACAAAAATAGTGATTTAACATGTACAAAGTTATTTTCCATCTACAAACGTCTATCAGTTAATCATACATCCACCCTGTTTAAAAGTTTTTAAAAATAAAGTTTGGACATATTAGCCAAGATTTCTTTCATGGCCTGCAGGCTCTCCCAACAGCACTCAACTCTAATCTGTGTACCTTGGCAATATAGGTTTTCTTGGTTGCAACTCTGAGAGTCACGGACACATACTGTAAGGTTCTAGATTAAAAAAAAAAAGAAAGAATGAAATAAAACAAGAGGTAATAGATGGTTGATCTGTTTGGGGATCGTAGCAATTTGTCTCCTATTTCTTTTTAGTCTAGGAGTGTTTTCTCCTTAGAAAAAGAAAAGAACCTGGGGCAGACTGGTCAGGGACTGAATGAAAATGAGAGGCCACAGGGTAACCCAGAAAATGCCAATGTCAGCCCAGGGACCCTCCTTCTCCTATGTTAGTTGCATCCACCCGGCCTCCCAGGAGCCAGACACCAGCCTCACCTGCTCCAGCTTCCAGAGGAACTTGACTGGGCGGGCACTCTCAAGCAGGGGCCAGTAGAGGAAGGCAATTCTGCAGCCATGGACAGTCAAGGAGTAGTGAGAGAAGCCATCCTCTGATGGGACAGGTTGAGAACAGGGGTCAAGCATTAACGCGTGAGGCAAGAACGAGCTCAAAGCAACAGTAGGAAGAGGATGCTCCTTCTCTTAACTCTCTCTGATGTGCTCTCATTGTCTTATCCTCTAGTGCTCTTTCTCTCTCTCTCTCTCTCTCTTTTTTTTTTTTGCAATACTAGGGTTTGAACTCAGTGCCTACACTTGAGCCACTCCACTAGCCCTTTTGTGATGGGGTCTCACAAACTATTTGCCCAGGCTGGCTTCAAACCTCAATCCTCCTGATCTCCACCTCCTGAGTACCTAGGTTATAGATGTGAGCCACCAGTGCCCAGCTCTGTGTCTTTTTCTTTCTTCCTCTTTGTCTCTCTGTCTCTGTGTGTTCTCTCTCTCTCTCTCTCTCTCTCTCTCTCTCTCTCTCTCTATATATATATATATATATATATATATATATACACACACACACACCAGTCCAAGTGACAACTAGATCTTCTTGGGCACTGGTTGGCCAAAGGAACACTGGCCAGCCAACTCCCACCCAGATCTTCACTGGTTCTTTGGTTAATACATACATCATGGGTGATACCCCTTCCAGGTCAAGAAACATGAGGTTGGAGAAACGGCTAGAAATAAAAAAAACAGGTCAAGGCTGAGCCCTCCCTATAGGGTTGAACCACTGCAGTTGAGTGAAGAGGCACATTTGGAGATGGAGTCAATCAGAGGAGGAGAATGGGATGGTGGTAGAAGAGAAGGAACAGACACCACTATCCAGCTTTTCCATTGCAATGGAGTGGCTTTTGTGGGAGTAGAGACATGGCAGTCTACTACCTAGTGGGATGCCAGGAGATTAATTGAGCAACTGCCAATGAGAATGAGGACTCCCACTGTACTCAGAGCAATAGGAGCTCAACATGTCACCTTGGGATAAATCACAGAATTCCAGGGAACGTCACAGCTAGCACTAAGCCAGTCGTGGTGGCATATGCTATAGTCCTGGCTAGTAGAAAGATTGAGGCAGGACAACCACTAAAGCCCAGAAGTTCAGGGCCAGCCTGGGTGAGAACCCCACCTCTTAAAAACATAGCCCTGGTGACTTGCAAATGAAGTGACAGGAGAGAGAAGCGACCTGTCCACAGTCCACCTTGGGTAGTGACAGATGCAGGGTAAAAAGTCAGTTTCGCACTGTAAGGCTTGTGCCCTAAGAAAGGCTCACCATTCTGGACTGTGTTGCACACAATGGTTTCCTCTTCTTTCTTGCCCTTGTTTGGAGTTACACCATGTTTCATCCAGAATGACAGGGTAAAGTGGTCGCTGAGGCTGTCCTGGGAGCCAGAACCCAGCCCAGCTGTGCCACCCAGGGGCACCTGCACAGCTTGGGTGCCATTAAACCAGTATATAAGGCTGCTATCCTGGCTATAGTGCACTGAGAGTCCTGCTGTCCAGTTGGCATTGGGGCCCGGCATGGGCAACAGGTCCACCTCCCCAGTGGCAGCACCTGTGGAAGTCCCAGGAGGCACAAGTGTCAGAGTTGAGAGGCAGTAGATGAGGAAATAGGAGAGAAGCAGGGAGTGACTGATGAGAAAAGATTTCCCACCTCTTCTGGCCTTTCAAAGACAAGAGAGGAATGGACCTCTCTTCTAGAAATAGATTGGAAAACTCAACCCTTTTTCCAACTCTTCTCTCTCCCAACCATTGTTCCATGATGCATCATTGCCACAATGCAACTACCTGCCCTTTGGACAGAAAGAGTTAGCCATGCCACAGCCTGTGGATATGTACGCTTACAGATAGCCAGAAGAGACATAAAGCAGACTCTTGGGAAAGGGGCAGAGGAGGTGCATGATGGTTGGGAAAGGACAGCCTAGGGGAGAATTAGGGGAAGTGGCACACGCACCACAGAGTTTCCGCAGTGCCCGCTCTGAGTAGTTGTCACGGTCACAACCCTTGGCCACATGGCTGGTCTGCAGCTCTATGGTGGCCTGAATGTTCCAGAGTGGTTCATCACAGGTCTCCAGGCGGATGCCAGGGAACAAAGCCAAGCTCCCAGCGCCTGGTGCATATTCAATCCTTTTGTTCCAGCCTACATGGGTGAGGTAGAGAGGGAGAGGAGACAGAAGTTAAGACAGCCTCTCCTATCCACTCTCCTGTTATGTCCACTGGCTGAGGTAGAAACCTGCCCCCAAATAACTCCCCACAACCATAGCCCAGACCCCATGGTGGTCAAAAGGACAAAGGGACCAAGGTGAAAGCCAATTCACAAGCCTGGTCACAGAGTGGAGCTCCTCACCTTGCCAGCTGGGTTTGCAGGTGGGCTTCACCTGGATCTCCACCTCAGCATCATCGGCTGCTCGCTTCTTTCCACAGTCATAAGCCGTCACTGTGAACTTGTAGAGCTTCTCACCACTGTACTGCAGCTTCTCTGTGTTCTCAATGTTCCCTAGGGTATTGCAGGGGGTTGGGGGGAGGATAGACAGGATCAGATGCACTTGGGAAAGTCCCAGAGGTAAGGAGAAGTCTAAGAGAGCTAAGTGGGCAGCAGGTGGACTCAGCAGGAAGAAAAGGGAAGAAGGTGTCTGGAGAAAAAGACTCCACATTCAGGAGGGAAGGTGAAATGAGGGTCCAAGGGAGAGAAGTGGAGAGGTCAGCCCTGGGTTGTCCTGAGGGAAGTGGGTGCACAAGACCTGGGCAGTCAGGAAGGAGGGTGGACTCACCATCATTGTCTATTAGGAAGGGGGTGTTGGGCGTGAGGATCTCATAGTAGCAGATCTGGCTGTACTGTGGGGAGCAGTCACCATCAATGGCTTCCACCCGCAGGATGCGATCATACAGTTTCCCCTCTGTCACTGCAGCACGGTACAGCCGCTCCACAAACACTGGGGCAAACTCATTCACGTCATTGACCCGCACATGCACTGTTGCCCTGCATGTACCAGAGGAGGGAGAAGGGACCAGAAGTATTAGCCAGCCTTCATACACTGAGAGAGGCACAACAGAAATCCAGATGGGAAAAAGAGCAGGAGGGAGCCAATCTATTCTTTTTTTTTTTTTTTTTTTTTTCCAATCTATTCTTAAGAGTGAGCATCCCCATCCCACAAGGCACCCGGCTGTTGCCAAAGTCATGCCAGAGATAGGGCCACACAAGGGAGAGGGCTTAAGAAAAGAGTCGGGGTACAGATGACTGGGTATGGTGGTACACGCCTGTAATCTCAGATATTCAGGAGGCTGAGGCTAGAGGATCTTGAGTTCAAGGCCAGCCAGGAAAAAGTTAGCAGTGAGACCCTGTCTCAAAAACAAAATTAAAAAAAGAAAAAAGTATTGGGAGCATGGCTCAAGTGATTGAGCATTTGCTTAGCATATAAACAAGGCCCTAGGTTTAATCCCCAAGTACCATGAGAGAGAGAGACAGAGAGAAAGAGAGAGAGACCTAGAGGTAAAGAACAAGCCCAGGGGATACCAGGAGCTGATTTGGATGACTTCTATCAGACTGTTGTACAGAGCAAGGAGGAAGGAAAGGATGAACACATTCATCCTTTTCAACTGCCCACTCCAGCCTATTTTCAGGGCACACCATGTACCCAATTCATAATATATACATAAGCTTGGAGATTTCAGCAGGGTTTGGCACATTCATTAGGGTGCCAAGACAAGGAGCAAGGCACAAAATCCAACAGGTTTTGCCTTCACTACAGTCAGGTCCAATGGAATAATCGAGGACCATGCACAGCAAACTCCAAATTAAAACTAACCATAAGAAGAGAAGTGGCACTGATACAAAAGTCATAAGTCATCTGACACATACATGTGAGCCACGGGCTGCCTTCCATACACACGTGTGAAATGCGCACATCAGCCTTGTTCCCTCCCACTCAACACCCACCAGGGCAAACACAGCTAGGTCTATAACCTTCATGCTGAGACTTGCCCCTAGCCAAGATCCAGGTTTCCAGGGTCCAGAGGAAAAGTTCTATCTCTAAATGGGAAACTGAGTCACAAACAGCACTTTATCTCTAATGCTTCTTACTGGCCCAGGAATTCTGACTGCTGATCTTTCTCCTATTCTCAAATGAGAAGTTATCTGGAAACAGATGTATATGCCTGGGACTGAAGCCTCTTTCGTTCTATAACCTTCTCCTGCCCACCCCCCTCACCTAGAGCTGTTTGTGCTGTGAATCATGTGCATGGGGTGCACTGCAAAGAGAGGGGAGCAGGGGGGCAGTTGAAAGGGATCAGGATGTGTTTGTCCTCTCCTCCTGTTCTCCCCCTCATCACCATGACTTCCATGTTCTGAGCCCTTCACCATGTGTCAGGCACTGTGGTACATGCTTTCTACACAAACTACCTCCTGCGATCTTCACAAAACCTCTTTGTTTAACAGATGAGGAAAAGCAAATCCAGAAAGGCTAAGTGAGTTTCCAAAGTCATGAGAGGCAAATCCAGGATGAGATCTCACTGAATTCTTCTGTGTGCTTGTAACCTTGACAGGAGGTCTCTAACCCTACAGTGGGGGCGGGGATGGATATTCATTACAGCATGGATAAAGGATACTGAGAGTTCAGAAGTAGGTAGGAGAATCTGCCTCAGACAGGCAGGGGACAAGGCCTTCCTCACTTGTGGGACTTCTTGGTGTTGGCACCATCAGGGCCCTCGCCACAGTCATATGCCTGGATGGTGAAGGTGTGTTCCTTCTGGGCCTCGCAATCCACAGGCTCCTTGGCCCGAATCAGCCCTTCACCTGTCGCCTTGTCCAGGATCACAGCCTCAAAGGGCACTCCAGACCCATGGAGCCGGAAGCCGCAGATCTCACCTGGCAGAAGGGAAAAGGAAGGATTGGGACTCCACACCACCTGGTGCATCTCTTTCCCACCCTCAGATTCCCCAACTGGGGGCTGAGGGGTCCAGCTGCACCTCTCCTCCGAAACCCTGGTGCTCTAGTAGGCATGCAGCATCGATAATCAGAGCTCTCTCAGAGCTACCAGGCCTGAAGTGTGGCAAGGTCAAGTGTGTTTAACTAACTCCTTCCTGGCTATGTCTGTTTCTGACATTCTCCATTCTTCAATGCAGCTCATTTCCCTCCTTGTACCACTTCTTCTTCTGCATTTCCCCCACTTTCTCATTGTTTCCATTTCCAGGACCTTCTCTCCCTCCCACCCACTTTTCTCTGTCCCGCCCTGACTTACCACCCCAACCTCAATTACCAGCATAGCGCAGGGGAGCGTCCTTATCCAAGGCAAAGAGTGGTGGGTTCAGCAGGACAGTGTTGTCATTCTCCATGACGATGCCCTGGTACTCTGCCTCAATCCATGGCTTGTGCTTGTTGGCTGGCCCCGCCCCAGAAAGAGAGGAAGCACCTGTGAGAAGGACCACCACTCTCATGACAGCTCTGGTTGGCCCAGACAACTCACACCCCCCAGCATCATCGCCCTTCCACTCCTGCCACAGCCTCTTACAGGAAGGAGAGGACTAAGGACAAGAAGTCAGCTACAGAAGGTGCAGAGAGTCTGCAGGAGGTCACAACGTCCTCCTATAGCAAGATAGCAGTTTCTTTGCAACTGCCTGCCCTATGGGGAGGGGCCACTCTCTCCCCTGGGAACCATGATGGGGTAGAGAATCTTTAAGGACTTCAGGTGCTGGAGAATGGAGACTGGTGACTCAGGAAAGCAGTGGTGAGCCCTCAGAAGGCCCTGGGAAACGGAAGGGAGAGATGAAAGGCAGAGTCATGACTAGGAAAAGATTCTAGAAGTTTCCTGAGATCCTGATTGTTTATCCTCCCCCTCCTCCATTTCAATCCTGGTCCCTTGACTCCATACTTCTCCTAAGCCAGGCTCCAACCTCAGGCCACTCTCCCAGAGCAGGGGAAGAAGAGAAAGGAAAGAAGAGAAGATATATAGGACAGAGGGAGGGGACAGACAGGGGCAGCAATGGAGCAGAGAAATCAATGCCAAATGACTGGACCCAGCAGAGCAAACATCCTAAGGGATTATCAAGCTGGCCTAGAAACATGATAAATCCCCTCCCTGTTTCCCACCCCCACATCCAAGAGCACACAGCACAACTCTTTGTCCTCCACAAGGTCTTCAAACCCCAACTCCCTGGGCCCCACTTTTTATACTGACTTAATGATGACTGAATCCCAAGTCTTGTCTACCACACCCCTTTTCCCTTCACCCACCAGCCAACTCAGGACGGATGTGGGACTCAGCGAGATTCCCATCACCCCATCTCCTACCAGACTCAGCTAAACAGGGCCTCCTCCCCAGGACCAACCCCCCACTAGTCTGGTGAGGGGCCACTGGGAAATGCACTACCTCATCCCCCAGCTCAGCTCCAACCTCCACTCTCCATCTACCTAATCCCATCATGCCCACACCCAGGCTCCCAAAGTCCACTATGATGGTACATGAGATGGATCTGAGGGAGAAACTTCAAGGGAAACTGAGTCACTAGAGGAACCTCACCCCAGTATCTCACAGTGAACAAGAGGTACTGATTTCAGTCTCTCCTCCAACCACACCCTGACAAGCTTTCTAGTATCTGCAGGCCTGCCCCTTTCTTGCTGATGACCACCATAACCCCCTTCCTAATGGCTGAGCAGAAAGCCACAAGATGGTGCACAGAAGGCCGCACAGGAAGTAGCAAGAGGCTCAGGAGCCAGGCTGAGGTCCTGAGGCAAGAGATCTAGACAGATAGAGGAGATAGTAGACGGAAGGGCTAAAGATAGCCAGGGCAGGGCTGGCACCTTTCCATAGCTCACCCCTCCAACCCTGCTTCTCCCCATGGTCCCTGAGCCTTCATCTCCCTGTTCCTCTCCTTTGGCCACCTACTATCTGTGTCCATTCCCCTCATTGACTCTTGGGCTCCCCATCCTCCTTGGCTTTCCCCTCCCTCCTCATCTTCCTGATTTTCCTTCTATTTCTTTTTCTTCCTCCTGCCTCCATCTGTACCCTTTCCATCCCCTTCTTATCCCCTCTCCCATACCTTATCTCCATCTCCTCCTCAGTTTTCCCTCTCACCACTCATTTAGTGCCCACACACACACCCACTTCTGCCCTTCCCTGCCTTTCTCCCTCCCTTCCGTTTGCCTGAGCCCTCTACCTCCAGTCCCTCCCTCCTTTCCTCCCTCTCACCCCTCTGATAGCCTCACCCAGCTGAATTTATCCACTGTCTGCCAGAGAGGGCAGCTCTGGTAACCCACAGCCCAGCTGATGCAGGCAGAAGGGTATAGATGCAGAGGAACACGCAAAAACATACGTGCTCTGAATTGCTGAGCTGCAAGGAACAGTTTCTCCCCAGGATGGGATGGAGATGAACCAGATGGATCTGCCACACACCCTTAGCATGTGCATACCCAGTGAAAAGGGAGAAACACTAAGAGATGTGGTATGTATCACCCTCGGGAGTTAAGACCTGCTGAGATCTGAGATATCTACCAGCATGGAGAAACTGGGAGGGGGGACAAAAAGACACTCACATGGGAAGGGGGACCAACCAGGAGCAAGAGAAGCACATAGGTAGAGGTGGGCCTGAGAGGAGGATGGAGCCCTGGGAAGTGAGAAAGAGGAGAAGGGAGCAGGTCTGAGGAAAATGGTCAGAGAGGAAAGGACACCTGTCAAGTGCCAGACAGCCTCAGCACCTTCCCCCCACATCTTCACATCGCTCTGCCTGATTCCCTCATTCGGAGCCCCCCACCCACACCTCACTCACCTTTGTTCCCCAAGCTGGGCAGGAGCAGAGAGGCCAGCAAGAAAGACAGCAACAAGAGGGTCATGGTGTGGTGTGGGGCAGGACCAAGCCAGGGGATTCGGTCCCTTGGGAGCCTCAAGCCTGCTAATTCCACCTTGGGAAAGGGATGCAGGGGCTCTACAAGGAGGGGAGGGCAGCAGAGCAGTGACAGAAAGGAGCCTGCCCTCCCCTCGCACTAGTCCATGGAGCAGACCCGGCAGGCCCCAGTCTGGGTGGCTGAGATGGGGGACTCGCAGTGGCTTCTCGTTCCCTCTAGAGCCCAGCGTCCTCACTCTCTCTCTCACTCCCACCCCATCCCTGCTACTGCAGGATGACGTCAGCACGGCCAGCAAGGATTGATGGGGCCGCTGGCCAATCGGATGACCGGGGGCGCCAGGTGCTGCAGGGGGGCAGGAAACCAATGGGACTGGGGAGCAGGGGCGGGAGAATGTGTTAGGGCTTTTTCCCCTGACTGCAATTTGAGGGAGCAGAGGAACTGCGGGGGCTGGAAAGGAAGCTGCAAAGCCGTAGAGGGGGTGGGAAGTAAGCGGGACATTGGCAGAATGAGAAGCTGGAAGCCAGGGGGTGGGGAAGGGAGACGTCAACGGAGACCTAAGGGTGGCCAGAAGAGGCAGCATCCACGTCACCCACCCCCTCTGCATTAACCTGTTTTCACAGCCCATTCCTTCAATTAGTCTCTGCTGCGTGCCTTCTGGGAACTGAGAAGTAAAACCTTCAATCTGAACAGGAGACAGCCTGGCATTGCGGCTCTCAGCCCAGGTCCCTGACGAAATCATAGGGGACTCAGCAGGGCAAATGAAAAAGGGCTCTGAGGGTGGAGGAAGAGTGGGGTGTCTGTGCATCCTCGCAATACCCAGTCCTGCAGAGACAGTTCACCAGCAACTGAAATGACAGGCTCTCTTTTTCCTATGGCCTGCCCTCCTTGCCTCCCTCTCCCTGAATTTCACACCTTAAGCCATGATGGAACAGCCCAGTAGATTCTGACGCCAGGACAGTTGGCAGGTTCAAGAGAAGCGGGTAGCGGGGGAGGCAGGACACACAGTAATTAAAGTGTCCCCCAACACCACTATGGAAACACATCTGGTAAGTATAAAAGGCTGTCCAAGTGCTCAGAGTGATGGTATGTATCATCAGCATAGCCAACCAACCCTATCTTCTTCCCCTTCTGGCGTCAAACCTTGAACTGAACACCCACCAGACAGCCAGTTTCTCTGCCTCTTTCTTAAGGGCCCCACAGGACCAAGAGTCTAGATGGCAGTTTGGGGACCCAATTCAGCCAACTATCTGAGGAGGCCAGCACTCCCTGACTTTCTTTACTGTGGCTCCTGGCCAGCTGTCTGCCCCTACCTCCTCCCCTCCCCTTTCAAGATCCCTGACTCAGTCCCAGGATCTCAGGATACCACTAGAACTGATCCCCCTTGCACACAGCCAGCCAGTCACTGCTGCCTCTTGGGGAAGCCTGCCCCTCAAGTTTCCAGGATATTGCTAAGCTCCCCACAAATGGGGCAGAGGCCAAAACTGATCCTGGCATGTTCAAGTTTTGGATGACTGACAGCGCCAAATGCTGCTCCAGATTCCTTCCTCAGGAAAAGCCAAGGTCAGGCTCAACTTTACCAAGACCCGATCTCTCCTTCAGGCTGCAGACACCAGCCCCAAACTTATCATGGCCACTGGTGGGGGTGGGGGCAGGAAGGAAGTCTGATAGGGACTCTTATTGTAACAGGGCCCCAGTCCTATAAAAGGCCTGGTCAGTGTACCTTTCCACACTCTTGTCGCTGTGTGTAGAGGCCACCAGAGGCCGGCCTGGAGTCCATCCGCTTCATCTGCCAGACAACCACCCCTCACTGCTTACCCCATCTTCTGAGTCTTGATCTCCATCTTGGCCAGCACAGACAATGCCTCCCAACCTCACGGGCTACTACCGCTTTGTCTCACAGCAGAACTTGGAAGACTATCTGCAGGCTCTCAGTAATGACCCCACCCTCTTTTGCTCCCCTTCTTTCCTCTTGCTTTCTTCCTGTAAGGTAGGGGGCTTGGGCAGCTGGCACCTGACTTGAGATCCATTTCTAGCCAGGAGTATTGCTGGGAGGGGGTTAAACCCTAGTGCCAGACCCACCTGAGGGCCACTCTCAGCTGTAAGGTGCAGCTGCAGGCAGGGAATACCAGGCTGGGCAGCAGGGCCCTTGCTAAGTCTCAGCCCCTCCCACCCCCCCACCCCCAGACATCAACGTGGCTCTGCGAAAGATAGTGATGTTACTGAAGCCAGACAAGGAGATTGACCACCAGGGCGACCATATGGTCGTGAAGACCATCAGCACCTTCCACAACTACGTTATGGAATTCGAGGTGGGCGTTGAGTTTGAGGAAGACCTAAGGATCGTGGATGGGCGAAAATGTCAGGTACTTTTCCTCAGGTTGGAGGGGGAGTGGGGAATGAGCAGATGCCTCCTAACCATGTGTGCCAAAGCAAAGTGGCCTCTGTCAGGCAGAGCCAGGGGGAAATGATCACCACAGATGGGATGTCCAGGATATCCAGTCTTGGGGACTTATTAGTTCCTGGTAACCCCCTCACAATCCTTCCTACTTCTTCCCTGTCCCTTCTTATCATCATCCAGAAAGGCAAAAATTGCATACCACCCCCAGGCCAATGAGCAAGCACTGTGCCTGACACTGTGGATCACTGTGGTCTCTTTCATTTTGCCTCTGTCACCTTACTTTCCTGCATTTTTTCTTACTTCTGAATCATTTTCTTTTTCTTTTTGTTTTGTCATGTCTTCTTTTGTTATTGTTGTTTGTTTCTGTGGTACTAGAGTTGAACTCAGAGCCTCGCACATGCAAGGTACCATTTGAGACTGGTCCCAGCCTTTTTTTTTTCCTTTTTTTGAGATAGGTTTTCAAAATGTAGCAGGCAGGCCTGGAACTTACTATGTAGCCCAGTCTGTCCTTGAACTCAGGATTCTCCTGTCTCAGCCTTCCAAGTGCTAGGATTACAGGCATGCACCACCATGCTTGGCTTCCCCCCACACACACTTCCTATGTTACCCTTCTTACTCTTCTTTGCAGACAAAAGCTCCCCTACTAATACTTAAAACCAGGGTTTTCCTCCAGTGTTTTGCTCTTTTGTTGCTGTCATTGTTTTGGTTTGCTTTGTTGTTATTGTTTTTTGGCAGCACTGGTATTTGAACTCAAGACCTTGTACTTGCCAGGCAGGTGTAGTGCTCTACCTCTTGAGCCACTGCACCAACCCCATTGTTTTTGAGACAGGATCTCACTGTGTAGCTCACACTGGCATAGAGCTCAGTATGTAACCCTAAAGGGCCTCAAATTCAAGATCCTCCTGCCTCTGTCTTCCCAGGGCTGGGATTACAGGCATGTACCATCACACACAGACAACGTTTTGTTCTTGACCTTCTCTCTCTTGCCTATGCACCACCAAGTGGGTAAATCATCCACACCCATGCCTTCTGCTGCCATCTGTAAACCGCCCTTGACATCTATTCTCCAGCCAGAGCCATCTCGAGAGCTCCAGGATAATGTTTTTCAACTGCCTGCAAAATATTTCCATTTATGTGCCCCAAGGTCGAATTCTAATTCATTATCTCTCTATCCAAACCTACTCCACTTTTACATTTACTGTCTAGGTTAATGGCAATTACCACCCAGCCAGATGTCATAGTCATTGTCTCTTATTTCCTCCTTACCTCTGTGCCCCCCAAGACACACATGTGTGCACACGCACACACACAATGCATTAAGAAGTCTGTATAACTTTTCTGCATTGGCCAATATAGTAGCTCCAAATTATTCACAACTATTGAATGCTTGACATGTGGTATACAAATGGAAATGTGCTGTAAGTGTAAAATACAAGATAGATTTTCAAACAATGCTCCCAAAGCGAACGTAAAACATCTCAGAAATATTTATATTGACCACACGCTGAAATTGTACTATTTTGAATATATTAGATTAAATAAAATTTGTTATTAAAATCAAGTTCACCTGTTTCTTTTTAGTTTTTCTAACAGGGCTCCTAAAAATGTTTTGTATGTGTGGCTTACATTTATGTCATATTTTATGTCTATTGTATGTCACTCTTCTTTTGGGGGAGTAACTTGATTCTCCTACCTATGGCCTCCTCAGTAACTGGAATCACAGGCGTGCATCAACACTATTGATTGAGATGGGGTTCTCCCTAACTTTTTGCCCAGGCTAGCCTTAAATTGCTAATCCTCCCAACCTCTGCCTCCCAAATTGCTGAGATTACAGGTATGAGCCACCACACCCAGCCTATATGTTACTTTTTTCACATAACTGTCCTCTGTTCCTTCCTGTCCTTTCTCACCATTGCCACCTTAACTCAGGCTCTCATTTCTCACCTGTGCCCCAAATTGGTCCCAGTCTTAATCCTCCTCAAACCCTCACTAGGTATGACAGCCAAGGGCCCATCTAAAATGTGAAGGTGACCATGTCACTCATGATTAAACCCCTCAGTGATGATCTATTACATTCCAGATAAAGTCCACTTGCCTAGCAGGGCATGCAAGGGGTTTGTGAACCAGCTTCCCCTTGACTTCCCACATACACTGTAGGTTAGAGCTCTTCAGAACTCTCTGCCCTTCCTTCTTGGCTCTGTGCTATGTCTTTCCTTCCAAGAAATTCCCCACTATCTCCAATCTAACTTCCTTAAAGACTTGACTTTTCCCTCTCCACTCCTACCCCCAATACTCTTTCCAGGTACAGATACCTGTGTTCTGATTCTCCACCAGTTTAAAACTATAAGCTCCTTGTTCAGCAGGCCAGTCCTCTGGGCAGGCTCCATAAATGCTGATTGGAAAGCCAGGCCCAGAGGCATTGGTCCTTCATTCCCAAGGTCACTTCATTTGTCCTTAAAACTAAAAAAGACACAAAAGGAGATTATGTGGTGGGACTCTCAAGCAATCTCTCTTCTTTCTTAACAGCCAGAGGCATCCTGAGGACAGTCTCCATTCTTCATCACCCCTCTCCCAACCTCACTCTCAGTTATCTTCCTCCTCCCATTCTGCCCCCAAAGATCACTGCAGACAACTGAAGACTCCCTTGAAGACTTTAGGAGAGGGAGTTCTGCTGAATGAGAACATTTGTCTCAGAAAGAGGGGGCCACAGAAGACTGAGGTGGGAAGCATTTGGCCCCAATATTCACTTAATCCCACTTTCCCCTATAGACCATAGTAACCTGGGAGGAGGAGCAGCTTGTGTGTGTCCAAAAAGGAGAGGTCCCCAACCGGGGCTGGAGACACTGGCTGGAGGGAGAGAAGTTGCATCTGGTAAGCTGGGTGAAGGCTGGGAGGGGAGGCACAAATGGGTGTGCCTGGGAGAAGGGCCTCCACCTAGGCCCTTTCCCAACCCAAGGAAATCCACTTCTCTACCTCCTCCATGGAAGTGGCCAAGGAGGAAAACAAAAACACTCAGAAGAGTGGAGAGGCCAAGGTGGGCCCTGGCTATGCATTAGATAAATGCCAATAGATCACAAGGAGACAGCCATTCCACATCCCCTGACCCAGCAACCTTCCTTCCTCTTCCGTGAGAAGATGAGGATTTGGAACAATGGTACAATTCCCCACCCTGCAAATGCTCTAGCTACTGTATCCCAAAGGATTCAATGCGGGTCAAGGACTTTGACAGAGTTTCAACTGCCAAGAACCCTCTTTCTCTCTCCACATCCTCCTCCTCAATCCCCAGGAGCTGACTGCCAGGGATGCAGTGTGCAAACAGGTCTTCAGGAAGGTCAGATAGCCAAAGAGGAGCTGAGGACCCTCCAGAAAGTTCTGGTCCGGATCCATCTTGCCCGTGCCCCCCTTCAAGACCAGATTGTGCCAGGTCAGCATCCCCATTTTGGGTCCCATCTCACTCCTCCCCGTGTTAATCTATAACTTGCAGCCCCAGTCAAAGTCCTCTCTTCCTCACACTCCACTGCCCAACAGTGACCCCTCTTTCAGGTCAAGGTCTACCCTCCTGGGTGACAGAAGAGACATCTGGGAAAGGACCCCTGAGAATAACCACTCTCCACCTGCTCTAGTTCATTTGACTTCTTATTTCCTTCTAAGAAAGAACTAAACTTTGGGCATTTAAGGGTTAGTGAAAATTCTATCCTGGGGGACCATTTGGAAAACTGTGACTGTGTTCAGGAGTTTAAATAGGAGCTACTGTTAGAGTCTGTCATCTCCTTGTATAAGAGGCATTTAGCAGAATATCCCTGCCCCTGTTTTACATATATCCCCTTTACTCTGAGTTCTAGTCCTCTGCAATCACCTTGGATTCTAGGACAGACAAGGACTGGTCAATATCTCCTTTATGACAAGAGCTCAAACTATCCAAAAAGAAACAGCAGAACAACTCAGGACAGATCACCCCCTAAATGAGGACAATTCTCTATGATGAGACCATACCCTGGAGCAGGAGTAATCATCTCATGGGAACCAGATTGCTCCCCTCAATTGATGACAGTGATGACAACTTCTCCAGAACCAGAACTGAGATAATGACTAACCAGGCCACACTTTGCCTGGGACTGTTTAATTGTACATACCGCTCTTTCCCTGCCCCTATTCTTCCTTTGCTTAAACCTAAAAACTCATGTCTGTACCCCAAAGATGGGCTGAAGTACTTACTTTGCCTCTTCCTGTAGTGTGCCCACACCATGTAATAAATCTCCTTTCTCTGCCCTTTATTTGGTTTTTTGGGGCTAGCGGCCAGACCTGACATGTAGAACCTATGGAGTTGGGTCTTTGGCCTAGAATTCTAGTTACACTTGTCTTTATTCTCTTGTGATGCTGGGTATAGAACCCAGGGCCTTGTTCATACTATCCTTGCATTTATTCTTTAAAAAATTTTTTAGCATATAATAGTTGTACAGGGGGATACATTGTGATATTTACATATATGCTTATAATATATCTTAGTTACAATATATCTTAGCACAATATACATGTGCTTATAATATATTTCCATTGTTCTCCCTCTTCCCCCCTCCCCCCTTCTTAGAAAAATTTCAACAGGTTTCATCCTATTTCATATATGAATACAAAATGTATCTACCATATTCACCCTTTCTTTATGCCTACCCCTTCCCACTGGGTGGGAAAAGACCTATTTTTATCGTCCTTCCCTCCACTTTTTTTGTATTTATTATTCAGAAAGCCTTATGCACTCAACAGAACCAGGCCCAAGGTATGGTTCATACCCACAGGGCACCACAGACTCCATTTTGCCAACATCTGAGGACATCCTACCTATTTCATACCTCCATCCCACATGTTGGAGAAAAGGGATAAGGCTAGACAAAACCTTTGTCTAGTGCTGCAGGATGCAATAATCTCCCAAAAAATACCCAGGCCTCCATGGGTACAATAGGCAGCAAGAAGGCCAGAAAAGACTGAAAGGGAAGCAGATGGAAGACTCAAGGCCAAAGGATCAAGGGATGAGGGGCTTTCATATGAAGGTGACAACAGGGAGAAGACCAGTAGGCCTGCCTATAGGGACCCTTTGCCTGAAGGTCAGCAAGATTGGAGACAGAGGATAAGGGAAGAGCTGAGGACAGCTCTAGGGTCACAGAGTCACTGCCTTGGAAAATAGCCCAGAAGGGTGGAGCTGGTTCAGGGTCAGGGCCAGCTCCAGCCTCTGCCTCCTCCCTGCCTCCAGAGGCCTTGGTTTTTTCAGAATAAAAGTCCTATGGGGCAAATGTCAGAAAGAAGAGTATTCAGTGTGGGTTGGGGACAGAGCCTGATGGTGGGGTGTTGGAAAGTCCCTGGCATCCTCAGATGGACACGCTTGCCAGTCACCAGAAGCAATACCAAGAATACTTCCTTTGGCCTAGGAGTTCTGTGGTGTTTCCATGTGCCATTATCAGAGTACCAGGAACAGAAGAACATTAGCTATTACTGCTTGCTTATTGCCACCTCTGCACTTGATGACAGGAAATCTCTTACTGGAAGCAAAGTCTTGTATTCTATAGTTAAGGCTAAGGCATCAGTTGCCAATACCCCTGAGTTACACAGTGACATATTCATATCACAGTGTAAGTGACTGATAGCAGAGAAGTAGAAACGGTACAGCTCTTTCCTTGGCTGTCCAGGCACAGAACTCTCTGAGGATGTGTTAGTTAACTTTTCCTTGCTTTGACAAAATACCTGACATAAATAATGTAAAGGGAGGAAGAACCCATTTTGGTTCATGGTTTTAGAGGCTTCAGTCCCCATTCATTGTGGCCTGTGGTGAGGCACAACACCATGGCGGCAAAAGCATGTGACAGAAGCTGCTTACCTCATGGTGGACAAGAAGCAGAGTGAAGGGAAAGGACTGGGGACTAGGTAAACCTTCAAAAGCACACCTCCAGTGATCTTCCTCCAGCTAGGCCCCACCTCCTCCAGTTTCCACCATCTCCCAAAATAGTGCCTCCAGCTGGTGACCAAGCTTTCAACACATGATCTTGGTGGGGGAGGGGTGTTTCAGATTCAAGCCATAATTGGGGGGAGGGGGGAAGAGGAGTTGTTCCCCAGCCGGGGCTCCAGAACCAGAATCTCCATTCTATCCCACCCCTCCCAATGTCCAGAAGAGAGCCCCTGTGACAGCATAGGGGTGTGTGGGAAGATGGGGCTACTTCTGCCCCTGTGACGGCCACGCTTGCCTTCTCACCAGCCAAGAGGAAACTTTAAGGCAGGGAGAGGGGATAAAGGTGGACAGCTGCCAGCCCCCTGCACTCCAGTGTCATCTGTACAGTCACCAGGCCCTGTCCCCAGACTCTATAATATGTTATGAAGCTCTCCCATTCAAGATGCTGAACACCCACAGTAAAGGCCACGACCAACCCCTGGACTCCTCTTGTCACCAGCTGTAGGCTGAGTCACCGCAGCAGTCCTGTTCTGTGCTGCACTTTTTCATGATAGGGTCTCCAAACCATTTTCCTGGGGCTGGCTTGGCATTGCAATCCTCCTGATCCTTGCCTCTTGAAAAGCTAAGATTACAGGCATGAGCCACTGGCACCTGGCTCCAATTTTTCTCTTACCTGAAAGCCTTCTACCCTCCTTCTGTCCTCAATCTTCAGAATCCCCTGTCATCTTTCCACACTGACAGGGCCCCAACTTTCCTCCATCAGAGCATCGTCAATTTGCGCCACCCCCCAATCCTAATCCACAGTTGAGCTGGCAGGCAGAGGGTCCACATAAGCAGATGCTGAGCAGTTTTCTCCTGAACAATTGTGCATATCCTGCAGGATTCTTTCTGTCACAAGCCTCTTCCATGTACAGTGAGTAATGTCTTACAAGCTTGCTAAAAAACATCTTTTCTTTCTCCTTTTTGTTCGTAACAGTAGCTGTGGCTTCTTCGTTGGCCTAGGCAGGTGGCACAATGCTCAGCTAAAAGCACCCCTGGAAGAGTCAATGGTACAGCCTCACTGTGAGAGCCTACACAAGTTATTTCACTTCTGTGGGCCTTGGTTTCCTCACAGGACCCATCCTGTTTAGCTCTGATATTCCATGACTGATCTACTCTCTTGCAGAATATTTGTGACTGGTCTACTCTGTTGCCTTCTGCACCCACCTCCTCTCTCTCTTCTTGGCCGTTTTCAAAAGAGGCTAGCTATATGCCTTTGGCCTAACTGCAAGGAAACTATTGTCACACTTAACACAACTGAAGCCTATCCTGCTGGGTCCCTACTGCAGAGAACCCACATGGGACAGTGTAGCTAGGAAGCAAAGCACCCTCTCCTTAAGGGGACCCCCCTGAGCCACAACCTCCTTTCAGTTTCCCCACAGCCCATTTATTTCTGAGTAGTCCAGATGGGACAAGGTGGACCATTTGAACAAGGGTTTATTAATGTCTTGGAGGAAACAAAAGGGGAAATGGAGCAGAGCACCCACCAGGCTCAGATCTGCTACTGCTCTGGTACCAAGTGATAGAAATTCAGCAAGGATCAGCTGGGCCCTCAGGAGAGAATCCTTCTCCTTCCAGTCACGGGGCTGCTCTCTCCAACAAAAGGCTAGGTGCCTAGCAAGGAAGAGCAAGGTCCTGTGCCTATGGCCAGAACTCTCACTAAAGAATAGCAAATAGGAGCCAAGCATGGTGGTGTGCGCCTATAAACCCAGTACTTGGGTGGGTGAGACAGGAGGATCATGAGTTAGAGGCCAGCCTGGACTACATAGTGAGTTCTGGGCCAGTCTGGACTACATAGTGAGACAACCCTGTCTCACGGAGTTGGGGGGGGTTGGGAGGGAGGATCACCACTAGGTGGCAGCAGCATTCCCCCCACTCAGGAAAAAAACAAAAATCTCTAGGGATTGTCAAATATCCCCTGGGGAACAAAATTGCACATGCTGAGAACCACTGACCTAACCATTTTGCTGTTTTGCCTCCCTAAGCAAGTAATGATGTTCTTGTTTGCCAAATGCCAGGCACTGTCCTAAACAATTTCAGTTATTACCTCATTTAATCCTCACGACAGACAACACTGGTGTGGGTGCCATTGCTCTCATCCCTGTTCTACAGGGGAGGGTGTTCAGAAATTACATGAGTTAGCCACGGTCACAAAGTTAGGTGCCTGGGTTTGAACCTGACGAATGTGGTATAGAAGCCACCCCTTTTATGGCTGTAGTATTGGCCAGGAAGCTACAGATGTAAACACAAGACATATTTGGAAAATCATTAAGACCACGACCATAAGATCAGCAGTGTTGAAAACAGAGTCTTAGGACAAAAAAATATTGGCTCCTCGAGTCCCAATGAGACTAGGCTGGACCACCCATCCCTGTACACCAATTAAAGAGACAAGCACTGGTGAACGATAGAGAAAAGAGGC